TTAAAATTTGGTCGGAGAAATTTGTCAATTCTGTATAAGTAAACCTGATACAGACTGTACAAGTGTGGGTGGGCACGTGCGGCACTGCCTACTATTTGATTTATGATGGTCAATTCAAAGAATAGGTAGCATAATTCATGAAGATGGACAACTCTGTTGATGTTGCCTCATTTCGCCCTGTTTTGTCTTTGTGCTTTTAATATAAAAAACATCAACGAACATTCAATAAAAGTTAATAATTGTCTCTTGGAATAGAACCTTTTTGCTTACCCTGAGAAACCTTGGAACCTTACTCACCAATATAAACACAACACCATCACAATTAGAGGAATACCGGAGTTACACAGGTGGGTGAATAGACCTAGCTTTCAAAATGGTATTCAAATTTAGCGCAAACATAACAATCCGGTTTATTGGTCGCATGCGCCCGTCTAGGGAAGTAACCTCCATCTTACAGTACCCTTAGCACAAACCATTTTCGAATTCGAATGGTTTGCGACTCCGAAATGTCATTGTCTAATTTTGTATGAAAACTTGAACATTACCGCCATAACGTACGTAACGAGAACTAAAAATCAGTATACATTTATTGACAATGACATTTCGTACTCGCAGACGATGCGAATTCGATATTGGTTCGTGCTAAGAGTACAGAAGACTACAGTACCTTTTGGTGGTGTTGTGTTTTTGTCGGTTAGTAAAGTTCCTAGACTCCCAATCCCTTCGATTGGGTCAGAGAAGGCAACGGTCGCGGCCATTCGGAGACGGGTGCCGAGACCACACCCTCGCTCTCGGCACGCACTAGGGGGACCGCGGTCCTCATAGTCCGTGTCGGGTGACCGGTGCAGTATTGTCTGGTTTTTAGTGGCCCTGTTCAGGGCGTAGATAGGGCCCTGTTCACTTCAGCGAGCTCCAGGGTTGGTTGAAGGGGACAGGGAGAAGTCCCACATACCTTCTTCTAGGTCCCCCAGTGGTTGAAGGATGCGTAAGAAATTACCAAGACACAAAAAAATGATATTTTTTATATCGATACGTTCAAAGCATGTTTTAGTGTAGTGGAATTAATTGTTCACATTGTCTATATTAATTACTTACGTGTAGTATAAACGCGCTGTCCAAACACAAGCCTGACGTTAAAGCAATATATCAACGTCCATTATAACAAACAAATTCTAAAACACACAACGTTTTGTAATAGTTTAATATATTAATCTCGCTCTAGATATGTCAAATGTAATCCAATAGCAAATTTAAAAAGACCCACCAACGCTATACTGTAATAAGGCCGCGTCGTTTCATCGATAATGTTTTTTTTTGACTACAGTTTAAATTCTAGAGAAAATTTAGCATTTGTCTTGAACTATGTATTTGGCGTAAAATTAACTATCATCATCATCAGCCTCTTAATGTCCCCACTGCTGGGGCACAGGCCTTCCCTATGGATGGAATAGGGAGATTGGGAATGACCCACCACGCGGGCCCAGTGCGGATTGGCGGGTGCTAACGACTGCAGATGCAACCGGGACCAACGGCTTAACGTACCTTCCGAAGCACGGAGGACCTCGAGTTAGAAATTTTTGGTCACCCATCCAATGACCGACCACTGCGAAAGTTGCTTAACTACTACGATCGCAGCCGAACGCGCTAACCACCTGTGCCATCGAGCTCTTCTTGATGTTTCACCTATAGTTGAATTTAACATTAACTATAGTTAAAGTCATCTATAGGTGAAACATCGCGGCCTTAGCGTGTACTTTACAATGTTTCCGGTATAAAATGTACATAAATATTATGGCGATAAAGGTGCCGTCATTGAATATCCATCTATACTTTAATAAAGTAGTTTTAACTATCTCTCAATAGCGCAGAAAACTTACTCGTCCAGTATTCCACACTATACGAGAATTGATATTTTTATTTAGATGAAATACATAAAGGAAAGATACTAAATGAAATCTATATCACTGTGCTACAAATTCTTGTAAATTGTGTCTCAGATTAGGTCTAACTCGTGGTCAGAGTTACTCAAAATGTAGTATTTAAGCCCTAAATGATCGTTCTTAGGTGTGACTTAATTATTAACATAATTTTGGTACAGTCATAATGTGTTTGTGAATATAAGTACGTTCATATACAGTTAAGTAACTATATTTTACTCACTGATAAGTGGATTGTAGAGTGCACACAAGTAGTTGAAATAAAAATCTCAATTTCGAATTAATTCGATAGACTATGCATGCGCCTAAAGCACTAAGGTCGTCATAAGGTAAAACGTATATAAAACTTTACGTCTAGACACTTACGTCGTTGAACCCAACATCGACTTTTTATTAGAGAATAGCACGCTACAAGAAAGTTATCTCATATGACATAAGCAGGAGTTCAAAACAAACTGGCCGTGGTGTAACTTACGGTTTTAACTGTCACTCGCGGCCCGTGTTGCAGTAATTAAAAGACAAAATGTTAAAATTACCACCTTGATCGTAGATAACGGCATAAATTAAAGTCGGCGCTCGTTCGATGGCCGTGGCACAGATTGGCGGGAATCGAAGATTTTATGCAAGATAGATAGAGCCTTATTGTGTTAGTATTTTCTATTGATATACCTACTTGTATTGTGGTGTAAACTGTGACGGATTCGAGCCTATTAACGTGGTTTTGGTGACGAAATCTTTTGTTTGGATAATAATGGTGAAATTAAGACATTATATTGTACAGTATAAGTACCTATTCTTGTATACCTTATCGATTATGTAGGTGAAAAATTATTCCTGCCCTACAACGGATTGCAGTAAAACGCGTTATATGCGTACCTAAATAGTAGGCCATAGGGGCCTATTCAATGCGCGATCTCGTGTTTTCTTTAAAACTTGTATAAGGTGTCAAAGTGGTATGAAAATTAGTAAACCACTTTGACAATATTACATATAAATTTGACAAAACTGTGGAGTTTTCATTACGGTTATTTAGCTTATATTTTGTATTTTCAAGCATGTTACTTCTAGATGTACATGTAACTTCTTAAATCTGAAGAAAAGAAAACAGTTATTATATATTAAAGTCTTTATATTTCAGAATAACAGCGCTGGTGCGACACAATATCGCATCAGTTAATGCTGAGGCAGCGTCCTGGTTAGCCCTGAGATTTTTGAATTTGTGTCGGTAAATGTGTAATATCTGTAAAATGAGGATTAATAAAATATATTCTATTCTATTCTTATATTTCGTATTTTTTAAAAATACTATTTTTTAAACGTAAATATTGTTTTCGTTCTTTTGCAACAGCCTATTTAAAAGGTTTTAAGGCAAATCGATCATTTGTAAAGCAGTTTATACAAAACAATTATTGTCATAAAATCTTTAGCTAAGCGATAAATGGAAATAAAATCAATTATTTAAAAACCTTGCCGTTTCTTGCGCAATTGATTCGAATCGGCTCGATAGATGGCGATCAGTAAGCGCGAATCGGTGGCGTAATGTCCACTAATTGGTTTGATAAAAAAAAGACATTGAATCTGTTCTCGTATACCTAATCATGGTGTAATTGTGCCATAAATAATATTTTTTATGTCTTTAGTCGTCCTAGTTGTCGGACGTAAATCAGAATGCCTACAGTCAACCCGTTATCAGGTTATTAGAGTTTGGAAAAATTGTCCAATTAAGTAGTCTTTGGTCTTCAAGCTGTTGGATATAGAAAGTTTAATTTTTTTTATTCATCTTTTATTTTAAAAATATTTCTCACTCAGTATCCTATTTTTATGTGAATTTCCAGTATATCCCTATTCCATTAGATACCTACTCCAAGTTGTTATCGTTATTTTCAATGATCTCATTAACACGAGCAATAATAATGTACTCTTAATGTCGCTAAATAAAGACTGCCTTTAGGCTACAAATAAATAAAGCAAACGTGATTGTCGTGGAGCACTCGATTAGAACTAAGTTAAGAAAAAATACCATAAGGGTGGGGCGGCGGCATACTATAAAATAAACTACAGTAAAAATCTACCACACGTTGAGCAAAATAACCACTAAAAACTACCATCGATGAGTAAAAATTACTATTGAAAAACTACCATGGGCGAGAAAATTACCATAGGATACCGCCAACCAAAATTACCATGGGTAGGAGAAAACTGCAATTGACGATAAAAACTACCATAGGAAACTAAAGTTTTTTCCCAATTTAATAGCGCGAAACTGTTATAAAAATCAAAATCTCGTCGAGACCTAAATTTTCCGCCTAGATGGCGTATTAATATTAAAATCTAGTAATTTTTAGCCTCCAGCCGTACCGTCTGAAATGGATTTTCGTTCCAAAATATTACTTGCACTTAATGCCCTGAAATTCATTCAAATTACACCATATTTAAACATCTCTGTTGATTTCATACAGTTGACAAAGAGTTATGTTTTATTTAGACAGGACTTACCTAACTAAATTTTTTGAAATAAAGACGCTAATGCATGTAAGTCAAAAATTTTATGATAATACAACTTTTTGTTTGAATATTATATTACCTTATAGCTATAGTTACTTGATTAACTATGCTATTACTACTCTACTATAGCTGACTCATTCCAATTTATTCAAGCCAAATATATTTTAAATGCACATAATATATTAATTTATTGTAATTTATGCATTCAATAAATTATATGTAATGCAACTTGTCGTCTTTATGATATACGATTTAATTAAGCAAACTTTAGAAAACGTCGATCCGTTAACTTTAGACTATGCAGGAAAGCAGGACCAATGAACAAATAAAAAAAAACAATAACAGAACTCGCAAAAGTGAAACACTAACAAGTGTTTCAAGTGTAAACTTATACTTAAAGGTTAGTGTTTTGATTTGATTTATGAAATTACGTCAATTACTTACAAATTTATCGTTACTTAGTTGTACTTATTCAAATTTATCGTGCATTAACAGATCATTATGGTTACTTATAAGAATAAAATTTAATTTAACAATTTCCTTTCTTATTGTCAACAGATAACTCTGGGCAGAGTATTCGAAAATGATCTCGTGACAATGGCTACGTGACTTCCTGGTAAGTAATACCTGATCATATTAAATTAAAAGAGCTGTGAGTATTTTAAAATATACTGTATTATTATAGAAGAGGGTTAATTAAAGAACGAAAATTATTAAGCAACTTTTAGGTGAGAGGAACTGTCTTTTAGAAAACCGTTTATAGAAAAAAAAAACCTATATCATCTGATTAAAGCTATTTCAAACTTTTTAAGATTTGATTAAATCGGAAGATATCACAAAATCCATGGTTGATTCTACTGAGATTGTAAGGATTCATCTAAGACATTTGATTAATATCTCCGTGAATCCACACTGCAATTTATTTGTCCGGATCCTTTCTCTAAAAGGCCTTACGGATTCATAAAGACTCATATAGCATAAGTGGAGTTGTTTTTTAATCGTAATCCACAGAGTAATTAACAACATTTAACACTGGTTGTCTGCAAAAAATGTTTATTTATAATCGTCTTGCTTATAACCGGGTAGGTGGCATAGACTTAACAAGGTAAAGATAATTATCGAGCTATTTATATTAAGACGAGAATATAGTTCAGTAGTTGTGAAGCATTTTTGAAATTATTTTAATAAGGTCTTATTGAACTCACTCATAGTTTTAATTGCATTTCCAATAAGTACCGATGAGTTTTGTTATTAAACTTTGGTTTTCCTATTTAATATAAATATTTATGTTTAAAAAGGGAAATGACACTTTTATAAACTTCTAATTTGGATATAATGGATAAATCTTTGATTGAACGTCTATATTGATCACGAAATGATAACGGCTCATTTTTCGCGAAATATGTGCTTGACTGTAATGTCAGTTGTATTAAAGCAGCCAATATGTGCGTGTGTTACGACGAGTATATCTACCATGTAGTAGATATTTTTTGTGCCGCTTCTATGGAGTTAATACTGTATCTAGGATGTATATCATCAAATCAATCAATAATTGGGATAAACATAATAATAATGTAATTTATTATATAGGGTTCATATTTTGTAATTAACTCTTGATTTAAAGGATGGATTATTTGGTTATCACATGACTTGAACTTTGTTTAACATTTAAGGTCCGCGTGGACTTTAAAATCACTTCACCAACATTATTAAATCTTAATAAGAGTAACTCTTAATAACACATCATTCTAACATTGTTAATCATCTAAAGCAAATATATATAGAATGAGGAATTGGTGTTTGGTGCAACCAAACCAGAATGAGTTAGTGATTTCATAGTGAACGTTCATCTATCTATACTTATAATAAATCTGTAGAGATGTCAATTCTGTACATGAAATATATTTTTAAAATAACTATCAGGGCATGATTAGTGATCGATACTGATGCCAAAAATGCAATCAGTAAATTTTTTGACTGTCTGTCTGTCTGTCTGTGTGTATGTTCCTTATAGAAACAAAAACTACTCGACGGATTTTAACGAAACTTGGTACAATTATTCTTCATACTCCTGGGCAGGTTATAGTATACTTTTCATCACGCTACAATCAATAGCAGCAGAGTAGTGAAGGGAAATGTTGGGAAAACGGGAGAAGTTACTCCATTTTTTAAGCTTCCGTCGCGGGTGCAGCCTTAATGGTTAAAGTTACATAGAAATCATGTATGACGGAAATATTCTACATAAAATTGTCTAAAAAATATCCCGCAACAGCGTATATCTATCTTTTATGGTTGACTCACAATAACACGTGTAATTATATAAATAAAGTCATTCTTTATAGCACAAGCCTGAGAACAAAAACTATAGTTTACACTACAGCTCTACACCGAAGCGAAGCGAGGGCGGGCCACTAGTCTAAATCTAAAATAACAAATAATAGATAAATGCAAAATATATCGTATATTGGCTACATAATAAGCTGGCTGTATGAATCGATTCATATGCCGTTACTAGGACTTAAAATTGTTAAAGCAAATTTTATGAAATTGACAGTATCATAATAATGTAAACTATTCTAGATTAATATAATTATAGTAAGGGAGCCCAAGCGGGGTTATTTGGATTTACGCGAGCGCGGCAGAGTAACATATAGGGGGTAACCTTGCCCCTTGTGAAGTGCTCCCACTATACTTGAGCCCACTATGTAGCGCCGGGAGTCTAGGGCAGCAAAACAATTTCTCAACAAATGGCCACGACTTTTGGCGGCGTTCAAATCGTCAATCTTTTGAATAGGACACCAGTAGGTAGAAGGGGTAGAATATTTTTATTTAGAAAATTTTCATTGAGAAGTGATGTCACGTGAACCCCAGTAACTCCTATTCAGATGACTGAAGAATTGGAAGCGACCAAAAGTAGTGGCAGTCTGTTAAAAAAAAATTTTGTTGCCCTAGACGTTCGTCATTACATACAGGGCGCAGTTATGGTGGGAGTACTTTACAGGGGGCAAAGTTGCCCGCATATGTGAATCAGCCATGCTCGATTAAATCCAAAAATCCCCGCTTGGGTGCTCCTCCCATAAGAGATGAGATTAAATTTAAATGCCTGGAGGAGATTTTAAGGTATTCTATGAGTAGGTTCAGGTATCGTATAATTATTAATATTCCACCAAAATTTCCACTCCATATTTTTAATATTTCTAGTTTTAATTAAAAATAGTATGGGCATGGCCCAAATATTATAATTTAGACCACAAGTCAAACAAACAATTTTAATTCAGCAGTGCTATTCTATAAGATTAAACTCACTTTTCACTGCGGGATTCGAGGTGTGGTTCAAAATTTGACCACGAATTTTTAATAAATATCAAATCCCCGGCGAATTCCGCGGTGAAAAGTGTATTGTTTTCTTACACACAAAGCTGAGCTGAGTTTTTTTCGTAATCATATCTTTTAAAATGTTTTCTGGGCATGTTTCTTTTCTAAACTATCTATATATATGATGTTGTCTATGGTCTGGTGCGCAAGCTTACTACTATGTTTATCGCTAGGTGCATCGCACTAGACTCGAGTCAAATAAAAACTGGCCCTGTGGCACACTCGTCACATGCTTTACCATATTCTTTATTATTATTGCTTAGTGTTTGACAGTTTATCCAGATTCTTCGGATTATGATAGATACAAATTGTAAACTAGTGGGTGACCGCAAATTCATCTACGTAGGAAAATTGCTTCCCCGTACAAACTTTAAACCCTCGTTTTTCCCGCTTAGAGGGTGAGTTTTGGAAAATCCTCTCCTGACGCATACCTACATCATAATAGCTCGACGACCTCCGTGGTCGAGTGGTTTGTACGCCGGGTTTCATGGTGTCGCCGACTCGGGAGGTCCCGGGTTCGAATCCCGGTGGGGGCAGATGTTTGTGTGATGAATACGAGCATTTGTACTCCAGTCATGGATGTTTAATATCTATTTCTATATAAATATACTTATATATGTACCGTATATGTATTCTATCCGTTACCCTAGTATCCCATAACACAAGCCTTACAGTGCTTACTTTGGGGCTAGGCTAATTGGTGTGAGTGTTGGAAATATTTATTTATTTATTTATTTTATTTAATAGCTATATGTGTGCCAAATTGCAGCGCAATCCGTTCAGTCAGTGGTTTGAGCTGTGCGTTGATCAGCCATTCAGTAACTTTTATATATTTTCAGTGGAAAATCAAAATCGCTTAAACTCCGTTTAAGTAACTTTAAAGAAACGAGGATCAATCATTGTAAATGACATTTAGCGCTATAAAAATAAAAATATAATCATAGAGCAATTTTTTTTTAAATGTCTTCCTATTAAAAAGTTACAATCATAGTGCCTTAACTTTACGAATTAGATGTCGCTTAAGCGGAAATCATTCGTACCGCCATACATTTTTTGTCAAACCAACATACCAAGGAACCACTCGGGTCGTTCGCGTAGGAGGTCGGCTTTCTACCAAGGAACCACTCGGGCTGTTCGCGTAGTAGGCCAGCTTTCTTCCAAGGAACTACTGGGGCTGTTCGCGTAGGAGGTCGGCTTTCTACCAAGGAACCACTCGGGCCGTTCGCGTAGGAGGCCGGATTTCTAACAAGGAACCACTCGGGCCGTTCGCGTAGGAGGCTGGCTTTTCTTTCTACCAAAGAAACACCGTTGCTTAAGGACTTAAAGACTAAACTTTTCAGCAAATATGTAATAAATGCGACATGCTAAAGATGAATGCAAAAATATGGGGCAATGTAATCAAAGTTTCAGTTTAAAAAATATTGTAAGCTTTAGTTATAAACACAAATTTTATTATTACTAGTTACGAAAATGTAAATGAATATTCTTCTATAATTTGTTATGAGAAATAATCGAATCATATAATTAGACCATGTACACATTTCTTTATTTAATGTGATATTATGTATATTTATTCTTTAGTTTCCAATATATTTTTTGGTTGGGTTTACAAAGTGACATATAATTTTACGTGTCTCATATGTTTCACAACATGTATATATTCATTTGAATGTACAATTTATGGACACAGTTGAAAACAACAATCAAGTCCAGAGGGACAATTATGAAGACTAAGCAATCAAATATTGAAAACCAAAAATCACTCATTAAATAGATAACATTAACAGCCAACTCACTACCAAGGTACGGTAAATGTCCATAAAATGGAAACAGTTTATTTATGTTACATAAACTATGGTCGTTCGGATTGTCAATGGTCTTGTTGGGTTGCCAGTGCAAAAACTAGTCCCTTGGCACAGTTACCGAGATCTACCGCGCCGCAACAGGGATCTAACGTGCAAGGACATGAATTTAATTAATATCAATAAAGTATACTTTTCAATGTTCTTAAAAGTCAGTAGGTCGCTGGCTGTATGTGTTTGCATCATTTTTTCTTTGCCTGAGCAAGAAAAAGTGACAGATCTTTAAATTTTTCTAATGAACGGTACTGGCACTTGCATCGCATGCGCAACATAACGTATCCATTATGCACCTTATGTTCATTACAAGAGGATCAAACTTTGGAACACATTTTCTTCGCATGTCCTGCATTCAACCTAAAATGCTTTTGGAAAAATATAA